TTTAGGGCTTCTTTAATTTCTATTAACAATGTTTTGTAGTTTTTAGTGTACAAGTCCTCCTATTCTTTGTTAAATTTATTCCTAAGTGTATTATTCTTTTTTGATGCTATTGTAAGTAGAATTGTTTTCTTAATTTTATATTCAGATTGTTCATTGCTACTATATAGAAATATTAATACAATTGATTTTTGTATATTGATTGTGTTTCTGACAACCTTGTTCAACTTGCTTATTAGCTCAAATAGCTTTTGTCTGTGTGACTCCTAATTTTTATATCCTCTGGAGCATTTAACAGAATAGCTAGTCTTAATTAGTACTCAATCCATGTGCATTGCTTGATTCAATCTCTTTAAATGCCACAGTGTCACAGAAGCCTTCTATCCAGTGAGTAATTATCCAGTTCCCAATACCATTAAATCATTTTTTTTCTCCTTTACTCTTTATCTTCAGGCTTGGGAACAATGGGCCGAGGCATTGTCATTGCTTTTGCGAAGGCCAAGATCCCTGTGATTGCTGTAGAATCAGATAAAAAGCAGCTGGAAACTGCGGACAAGATAATAACCTCCATCTTGGAAAAGGAAGCATCCAAAATGCAGCAGAGTGGCCACTTTTGGTCAGGACCAAAACCTAGGTTAACTTCATCTATGCAGGAGCTTGGTAGTGTAGATTTAGTCATTGAAGCAGTGTTTGAGGAAATGAACCTCAAGAAGCGCGTCTTTGCAGAACTGTCAGCCGTGTGCAAGCCAGAAGCTTTTCTGTGCACCAATACTTCAGCCCTGGACGTTGATGAGATTGCTTCTTCCACCAGTCGTCCTCACTTGGTCATTGGCACCCACTTCTTCTCACCAGCTCATGTCATGAAGTTGTTAGAGGTTATTCCCAGTCTATACTCTTCCCCTACTACAATTGCCACTGTTATGAGCTTAGCAAAGAAGATTAAAAAGATTGGAGTAGTTGTAGGCAACTGTCATGGGTTTGTGGGGAATCGAATGTTGAATCCTTATTACAATCAGACGTATTTCTTACTAGAAGAAGGCAGTAAGCCAGAGGAAATAGATCAGGTGCTGGAAGAATTTGGTTTCAAAATGGGGCCTTTTAGAGTATCCGACCTTGCTGGGTTGGATGTGGGCTGGAAATCTCGAAAGGGACAAGGTCTTACTGGACCTACATTGCCTCCAGAAACTCCTGCCCGAAAGCGGGGCAATAGTAGATATTGCCCAATTCCTGATATGCTCTGCGAATTAGGACGATTTGGCCAAAAGACAGGTAAGGGTTGGTATCAATATGACAAGCCACTGGGTAGGATTCACAAACCTGATCCCTGGCTTTCCAAATATCTGTCACAATACAGAGAAACCTATCACATTGAATCACGTATCATTAGCCGGGATGAGATCCTTGAGCGCTGCTTGTATTCACTTATCAATGAAGCATTCCGTATCTTGGGAGAAGGTATAGCTACTAGCCCAGAGCACATTGATGTTATCTATTTACATGGGTATGGATGGCCAAGGCACAGGGGTGGGCCCATGTTCTACGCTTCCACAGTTGGGTTGCCAACAGTTCTAGAGAAGTTACAGAAGTATTTCAGGCAGAATCCTGATATTCCCCAATTGAAGCCCAGTGACTATCTAAAAAAACTGGCTGCCCAGGGAAACCCTCCTCTGAAAGAATGGAAAAGCTTGGCAGGGCCCCCCAGCAGTAAATTGTGATTTGTCCTTTCAGGAAATTAAATACAAAAATCTAAAATAAGCTTGCTCTGAAACCCAAGCAAAAGAAATAATCAGTTGGCTAAACCTCTTCTTTGAGTCTTCTGTCCGATGACTCTGATGGGTCAAATCTTGAGGAATATGCTTCCTATGCCTCTGAGTCTGTCCCTATCAGATCAATTCAATGAATAAACTTGTGTGAATATAATACCAGAATAGCTGATGAGAGATCCTCAGGAATAATATGTCAATTAATGAAGGATAAATGCAGCTAAGTTATTAATTCATTTTGATTCCTTTCAACCTCACATACATAGTATTGATTGGAAATCTTATGAATCATAATACATTCAACAAACATTAAAGTGTCAGGCAAAACACAAGTGGGAAGTGGTGAGGGAACCAAGTACTTCAGACCAGAATGGAGAACTCAGGGTAGCTTGGCAAGTCATGCTCCACATGTCACTTCTGTCTAAGGCCCAGTCACATGTGTACAGCCGTGCTTGCTGCTTGTAAGATGGTCATTTCCCCAAGACTAGGGGATATCCACAACCTGGTCTTTATGGTCTTTTCTATACATGAAGAAGTAACAGAAAGTAGTAAGTTGTTAGCTTAGTATAAGAAGGGATCTTAGGGAACATCTAACCTTCTAGGATTTCTTAATTCTGTGATAGAGTAATGATGCCAATTTCCCTGTCATGACATGTCTTTGTGATGTTGTATATGGAAATGGTTGAGTCATGAACAATCTAAAATTATTACAAAACAAATTTTGTATAATTTTGTTATAGGAGTTCTTCTCTTTTACTTTTTGCTTTGTGTAGTTAAAAATTAAGGGGTGGGTCAACACAAAAACCTGTACACAAATTCTGTATAGCAGAGTTATTCATAATAGCCCAAAACTAGAAATAATCCAAATACCTATTAGCTGATAAATGGATAAACATAATGTGGTGTATCCATACAATGAACTCTTATTCAGCCATAAAAAATAAAGTACTGATACATGCTATAACATGACGAACCTATAAAACATTACACTAAGTGAAAGAAGCCAGTCACAAAAGGCCACATATTGTATGGACATGTATACAAAATGTCCAGAACGGGCAAATCTCTAGAGACAGAAAGTACATTAGTGGTTGCCTAAGGCTAGACTTATTGGGAAGTGGGGAAGGGGAAGTGACTGCTAATGGGTACAGGATTTCTTTTTGGGTTGGTAAAACGGTCTAAAATTATTGTGGTGATGGTTGCATAACTGAATATATGAAAAACCATTAAGCTGTATCCTTTAAATGGGGGAAATATATGGCATTTGAATTATATCTCAAAGTTGTTAAATAAATGGGGTTGAAGTTGTTATCCTTTGGTGTGGTGTAAATAAACTGTCTCCACAATATTTTCACCTGTGGACCAAAGAAAATTACAAAAAGTTCTGATGGAGAAATCTTAAATGAACAGAGTATAAGTTTTCCAATGTAAAAAAGCAAAACAAACATACAAAAAAAAATTCAAAAGTCTGCCTTGAATTGTAGTTCAACTTAGAATAATTTTTGAGATATATACTACTGAATTTTATATAATTTGGTTTGTGAAATTAAAGACATCAATGGAGAAGATTCCTGAAAGTAGTAACTTTGTCTCCAAGGTGACTTATTTTCAAATTAATGTAAAAATAAAAAAACACATTATTCCTCAAACCTTGAATAGATTTTATTTCTAGTTCTTAAAACTTATTTTCATTCTACAGTAGCCTCTAGATTGAGGTTTAGAAACTGCAGGGCCTATCAATAGATTTTACGAATCAACCCTTGAAGTGTTATGATAAAAGTTTATACTATGTATCTGAGTATATTTCTACATTTCTTGGAAGAGGTATTATACCTTCTTATTCCCCAAAGTGTCATGAGTCAATAAAGGCTAAGGACCAACATTATACATAGAAAATGGAAAGAAGAATTATGAGTTCATTTTTTATTTTATATCAAATGAAGCAAAACTAATTCTAATTTACTGGGTCCTACCTATAATAGTAGTTAATATGATGAAACCTTTAAGGATATTCTTAAAAATACACTTACTTAAAAGGCTGATTTTATTGTTGTTAATTTTAAAACCATATATATTTTTTAAAAACTTCTCAATGACAGTCTAAAAAATGTGCTTTAATGGTAATTGACTCTGATGAGAACTATATATTGGAAACACCCTTGAAGCTTTGCCATAATACTCCAGCTTTAAAGATGAGACTAATGATATTCTTTAAATCAGTAAAGCCACGGTGCAGCTGCAGTTGCTATCTAGTCATTCATTTCCAGTAGGAGCAGGTGTGCATGAGAGATAACGTGAGGGATCCTAAATTCCCCTGATTAATGATGTTACAGAATTATTTATGCAAATCATAATTGACTGCACTGTAGGAACGCGACATTTCTAGGGTCTTAGATTTGTCTTTAAAACAGACACCTAGAAATCAGAAATATTGAGGGCTCACTGGATTATCTGACCACTGGTAGGGATGGGGAACCTGTGGCCTTTGAGGTCCTTAAGTGTGGCCTTTTGACTGAATCCAAATTTTACAGAGCAAATCCTTTTATCAAAAGGGGTGCAGCAGAAAAAGACGAAGCTTTTCTTGCCTGCTTTGGTGCTTAAAAAAGAACAATCTTGAAATGAGAAAGTGGCAGGTTCCCCACCCCTGCGCGGCAGTCAATGCCATCTGCTTATCTTGACAGCTTATACATATTTTGAGATTCACAGAGAAGTGACACTGCTTCCAGGTAGGACAGAAGCAACATGAAACTCCAGGGGAAACCATCCGCACCATGCACCAAGGGGTTGTCATCCACATAGAAATAATGTGAATGGGACCCCCTAGAGTTGTACAGACCCAGTATTGTTCCCAAAACACTCTGTGTAGCAGTTTCATGCCAAAAACTCTTCTTCTGTACATTGCTGTCTCTTTCTAAATAAAAGTTGACAAAAGTGGAGAGAAATTCTCCATTTATATTAGTTCTCCAATGGGACCAAATTTTAAGGAAATGATTACATTTGGTTCTTTTTAGTATTTTTTTTTTTTTTTGGTAGCATCCTGAGAAAGTGGATTATGAGAGAGATGAACAGAGTTTTTCATTTTTGGCCAAAAAATGTCAGGGCATTTCAATTGAAATATTTATTTGCTTTCTTTCACCCAACTTAAAGTAGCCTGCCAGAATGAGTTTCTGAAAGCATCTTACAAGATGACATGAGCAGAGCTGATGCAATCTATCTTGTGCACATTTTTACTGTACTTACGGTTATCCCACTTTCTCCAAGAGGACATAGGAACAGTTGCTAAATCTAGCCATCATGTCATGTCCCTAGGTTAGGGCAAAACCTTCTCCATCAAAATCATAAATGCACTTGGATTTCCAAAGCTGGCCAAGGCTTGAAGAATTGTTGACTTGTAAATTTTGGCAGGGACTGTTGGCTGTTCCCCAAAGTTTCTCTTCTTCTGTAGTAATAAATGTTTCAACTTTTAGCTGAGCATGTAGATGCCTAGAATATACAATAAATTGCATCACGTTGTGGACAGGTGACTAAATTCTAAACAATGGGATGTGTCAGTGGGATTGTCATGTGGCAGCATCTGGGTACCTGCCTTAATGATCAGAGGATGTGCGTCCTTTGCCCATTTCTTTTTTGTCCCTTCCTCCACCTTGCTGCCTGAAACACAGGTATGAGGACTGGAGTTCCACCCACTGTGCTAGGTGATGAAAACAAAGGCCATGCTCTAGAATGAAGAGCTTTGGTCCCTGAGAACCTCTTGGAGCAGCGTGGCCACTCTACTTCCAACAGTCATTTATATGGGAGAACAATCAACTCCTATCATGGGGAAATTGATGTTTTTGTTGGTGGAGTAATTTTAATTACTCACAGCTGACACTAATGTGAACTAATGCAGGTGGAGTTCAAGAATTACTGGAGTTTTTTGTTTTGTTTTTATTTTCTTGATGCTACAGGTAATTCTGATACACAGGCAGAATTTCTTGTTTTTTAAAAAAAATTTTTTGCCAGTCTGATGTGTTTTTCAACTTGATGTTGAATTACCCAGAATTTTTTCTGTTGTGTTCCACATATAATTGTTGTAGGCAGATGAAGATGCCTACTAAGAACTTTAGAATAGGGCTTTAAATTGACATTTAGTAGGAAATAGTCTCACAAGCCTACTTGAACCTCAGATTGATTGCTACTCAATTAGAGACAAAACAGCGCTCGCAAAGAAAATATGTATTATCACAAGGAGAGATGGTCAACAATGGCACAAAGGAAAAGAGAAATCTGAAAAGCTGTACCTTTCAGCACTAAATCTGGAATACACATACCTTCTGCTCATTAGATGAGAGATCCCCAGAATGGGGTGCCTCTCCCAAGGGGTGTAAAAGACAATCCACAGAGGTGCAGGCAGAAAATATTAGAACCGCTATTGCTATTTATTTTTGTTTACAACATAAGAAATTGATCTTGATTAATACTTTCTCCCCTGTTGTATGCTGTTGTCCTCACCAGGTTGCATCTCAGGCAGCCATACGCCAGGAATGAGGTCTCTCGAGGGAAGAAGGTAAGTTCCAAAATGCAGAGGTTGACAGTAGCATTCTTCCTCTTTCATTTGCTTTCTGCATATGGAGAAATATCACAGATGATGTGGATATTCAGGCTAAATTATGTAATTTAATTAAATTAACCCTCACAAAAGATTCCTTGAAAGAAAGCACTCTTAAAAAGATGTCTTGAAAGAAAACACAATTGAAGATAAATAATGCAAGCAAAGGTGAACAAGAAAATGGCAGAGCTAGTCGTTCTCGTATAATCAGCTTTTTGTCACCTGTATTACAAGGTAGAATGATTTAGTCAAATCTGGCAGGAAGTTAGCCAAAAATATTTGAAATTATCAAGAAGACTGTTAGAAATATTGATTTAAAGTAGTCGGGCAGCATGAGTTCCTAAAAGCATCTTATAAGATGACATGAACAGAGCTGATGCAATCTATCTTGTGCACATTTTTACTGTACTTAGGGTTATTCCACCTTCTCCAAGAGGACATTTTAGAAATATTGATTTATATGCCTACTATTCATGATGAAGCTTGCCCTAAATGTATATTGTCCTATTACATTAGCTAATAACAATATGAAACCATCACTTATTAGCAAGATGTTCTAATATATTGTTTATATCATAATTATCTCATCATTTCTAAATTTCTTTTTTATTGTGTTTTATAATGTACATGTATATCAACATATTATAATATATACAGGGTAAAAGTATATGATTTTTAGATCAACAAGCATCCTATATATTAGAGGCATATACTAAAAATGTATGTGATGTGCTATCCAGATTCCCTTTCAGGAATGAAAGATTTATTTCCCCAGCTGCTAGAAGTGCTGCCAGAAGATGGTCCTCTTTGGGGATTGCCTTGCTCAAGATCACACCTTCTTCCAAGGGTAGCTTGCATCCAACTACTGCTCAATGTAGGGGTATAAATGCCTAATCCTCTTGCCCCAACTCTGAAGGCCTGACAGATCTAGAGCTCCCAGAGACTTTGAATGGGATGAGGCCTTCATTGGTACTGCATTGCAGCTCAACTTCTCCCTCTGTTCATTCCTGCTTCCCTCTCCTCTCTTTCACAGGTATTAATCCCAAAATCACTTCATAAGCATTTAGCACACAATCTCCATCTCAGAGTCTCCTTCCCAGGGAACCCAACCTATAACAATGGAGGTACATGATTTAAAATGTTCGGAAATCCCCTCAATCTATATGCTATCAACTCTTTGGTATTTAATACACTTCTTTTGGTCTCACATGCCATCAACTTTGGTAAATATTCTATGTGCTAGAAAAGAACGTGTGTTCTCTATTTGATCAATATAGAATTCTATTATTAGATCAAGGTTGTTAATGTTACTCAAGTTTCCTATATAGCCTTGATCATTTGTTTCGTTTTATTTTGAAGTTTTGATTTTCTTTAAAAAATTTCAGAATATCACGGGGGTACAAATGTTTTGGCTACATGAATTGCTTTTGTACAATTCAAGTCAAAGTTATAAATGTGTCCATCACCAGATAGTGTGCATTGTAGCCATTAGGTGTGATTTTACCCATCCCCCCTCCCTGCCTCCCACCTGCTTGATTTCCATTGAGTTTTACTTTCATGTGTGCACATGAGTGTTGATTGATTAGTTCCAATTTAATAGTGAGTACATGTGGTGTTTGTTTTTCCATTCTTGCAACAATTCACTTAAAAGAATGGTCTCCAGTTCCAGCCAGGTTGTTATAAAAGGTATATGAAGAAGACCCCAAAGGCAATCACAGCAACTGCAAAAACTAATAAATGGGATTTGATTAAATTAAAAAGCTTCTGCATAGCCAAGCAATCAATAGAGTTAATAGACAACCTACAGAATGGGAGAAAATATTTGTATGCTACATATCCAATAAAGGGCTGATAATGAGAATCTACAAAGATTCAAGCAACTCAGCAAGAAAAAAATCAGACAACTCCATAAAAAAGTGGGCAAAAGACATGAACAGCAGCTTTTCAAAAGAAGATAGACTAATGGCCAATAGACATATGAAAAAGTGCTCAATGTTTATCAGGGAAATGCAAATCAAAACCACAATGAGATATTACGTTGCTGACGATTGATTTGTAGTCCTGTCGCTTTCCGATGATCAGGGTCAATTACTCATGCCAGGATGGTGACTACCTTCCTTGGCACAAAGAGCCAGAAGTGACTGGGTGAGATTCTTACTGTATCTCCAATAGAAGTATTTCCTCTCTAGGAACCAGGACTTCTAGACCACAGAGGGTTAGTCGTTCATACAAGAAACAAAATTCCCCAGGTAGGTCACTGACAATGATGATAAGAAGGGCCATTTTTACTCTTTGGTTTCTATAACCCTGTATTCGATCTATTGGGAGCATAGTACCATTTAGTGGTTGTCAATTTAGAGTATAAATTGCTTCCTGGAGGATGGTACTTCATCTTCCTGGGGTATCATCTCAAAACTGGTACCTTAAGGTATCCTCAAAGATATATTCCATTGCTCTAATAGGAAGGCTGGTGGCTTCTGGGTGTTACAGTATGTGATTGGATTAGGAGATCCCGTGGTCATATGCCCACCTCTGTACCTCTTTTGTTCTAAAGTGTGTCCTTTGATCTGATGCAATATTACGTGAGGTCTTGTGTCACTGGCTCAGATTGTAAGTCCTTGGAAAATGGTGCTGAAACTCTGTAGTCAGGAAAGAAAAACCCATATCTGGAATATGTGCCAATTCCAGTCAAGATGGATCACCAACTCTCCTGGAGTAGAGGAGTTATGATGTAATCAACTTACCATAAACTGGTTGGTTAGTATCCTTGAGTACCAGCATCTGGAGGGCAGCATGGGTACTGGCTACAAATTGTACATTCAGCAACTAGATCAGCATTGGTGAGTGGGAGCCCATTCTGTTGGGCTCATGTGTAGCCTCCATTCCTACAACCGTGCCTACTGTGTTCATGGGCCACTCTGCCAGCACTAAGGTGGGCAACAATATCGACTGGCTGACATCAGCTAGCCTGGCCACTCTCTCTGCTTGGTTGTTTAATTCTTCCTCTGTGGTAGATGTTCTGTAGAGGTCATTAACATGTGACACACAGCTCTTCACATTTCATACCCACTCCCATAGATCCATCACTCAATTCCCCAGTTCTCACTGTACCTGGCCTTGCAATATTTCTCCTTCCAGGCCCTGAGCAACAATCTAAGCTGTTTACCATTGCCCATATATTCTTACTCAAGCCACTTCTCTGGGTCTTTGGATCTCTTTTTCCACCATCTGCCATGCCAGTTCTGGCAGTTCTGGTGGTCATCACTAAAATGTGCGGCATAATTTTCTCCAAGCTTTCAAGAGTCAACCTAGCACTATTATATATTAGCAAGTCTCCAAGAGTGCCCAGGCATTGAATCCTGCATTGCAAAAAGTGTTTCCATGTCGATAAACTATACCTGCCGTAATTTATGTTCTGCATCCAGAACCCTAAGAGTCTAGTCCCACACATACTCTCCCGGCTTCTGCTGACACATGTTGGCTACATCCTACAGCTCCTTGAGAATATGAACCCTTTTCCCCTTTAGTAGTAGTCTCAGCACTTCCCTGGATGGGTTGTCTTTTATGACTTAACTCTAATTATTGTTCTGAGGGCGGGGGGGGGGTGGTGTGTGTGTGGGGTGGTAGGTGTATTTTCTGAGTGGGACATGTGCTATCTTGCAAGGCAGAAGCCTTTGAATTACCTTCAAGCAAGGAAGGAGCAGCAGGGTTCAGCAGGGAGGGGCAGGCCCAAAGCATTCAGGGGAATCTCAGAATTGGTGATTCTCAAATTATGGGCCCAGAGGTTCCTATCCCAAGTCATAGGGTCCCACTTCTTTTTAATCAAGGCCCTAACCTTGGCGTAGTGGACTTGCCATGACAATTCAATTTTCTCTGGAACTTCACTCTCCTTACAATTAAGTCCTGGGCCTAACACTCTGCCTTTTCTCCCCTGTGACTGCAGGAGATGAGTCTCTTTATATGCTGCCTATGATGTTCACAGTTCATCTTACATTAGTAATTAATCACCTTTACACCTTTTATTGTCTTTCTCTAGTGCAGCAATAGCCCCTAGCAATAGCCATGTGACTCCATGTAATTAAAACTTTCTA